TTCCATCATGCAGAACACAGTGAAGTGTGTGTTTGTAGAGCTCTGAGTAAACAGCGTCTCCTACAGAAAAACACACACACACACACACACACTTCAAAGTGTGTTTATTCAGCATCAAACACCCGCAGGTCAGACGTGATGCGCTTCTGCTCTACATCTGTGTGTGTGTGAGTGCACATGTGAGTGTCTGTGCCTAATTCTTAGCGTGTGTTTGTAAGTGAGCGTGCATATGTGTGTGTATGAGTGTGCATGTGAGTAAGTGTGTGTGTGCAAATCTGAGCTTTACTATCAACACTATCGGAATAAACAGAGGAGTGTGTTCTAAATGATTCCTCTGTGATCTCTGCAGCTGTGTGTCTGATCTATTGAGCTCCAAAACACACACACACACACACACACACACACACACACACACACACACAGCTATTTACTACAGTCACACAGCCTGTTTTCAGCTCATATTGGCTGCAGGCGACACATTTACTTCAATACTGTAGTAAACATGCATCATTAACACTCGTCCTCCCACACACACACACACACACACACACACACACAGAGGGGGATTTCTGGGCTTGGCTCCTGCATCTAATTGTGTTTATCAGTCAGAAAGCTCTGCGGCGTCTGGTGTTGAAGAGAGAAGTTAAACAGTGAATGAAGGAGGAGGATCAGAAGACAGAGCGAGCTCTTGGGCGCCAGATCCAGCAGTATTAGACCAAGCGAGCTCTTGGGCGCCAGATCCAGCAGTATAAGACCGAGGGAGCTCTTGGATGCCAGATCCAGCAGTATTAGACCAAGCGAGCTCTTGGGCGCCAGATCCAGCAGTATTAGACCGAGGGAGCTCTTGGATGCCAGATCCAGCAGTATTAGACCAAGCGAGCTCTTGGGCGCCAGATCCAGCAGTATTAGACCCAGGGAGCTCTTGGATGCCAGATCCAGCAGTATTAGACCAAGCAGTATTAGACCGAGGGAGCTCTTGGATGCCAGATCCAGCAGTATTAGACCAAGCGAGCTCTCGGGCGCCAGATCCAGCAGTATTAGACTAAGCTAGCTCTCGGGCGCCAGATCCAGCAGTATTAGACCGAGCTAGCTCTCGGGCGCCAGATCCAGCAGTATTAGACCAAGCGAGCTCTTGGGCGCCAGATCCAGCAGTATTAGACCGAGGGAGCTCTTGGATGCCAGATCCAGCAGTATTAGACCAAGCGAGCTCTTGGGCGCCAGATCCAGCAGTATTAGACCGAGGGAGCTCTTGGATGCCAGATCCAGCAGTATTAGACCAAGCAGTATTAGACCGAGGGAGCTCTTGGATGCCAGATCCAGCAGTATTAGACCAAGCAAGCTCTTGGGCGCCAGATCCAGCAGTATTAGACCGAGGGAGCTCTTGAATGCCAGATCCAGCAGTATTAGACCAAGCAGTATTAGACCGAGGGAGCTCTTGGATGCCAGATCCAGCAGTATTAGACCAAGCGAGCTCTCGGGCGCCAGATCCAGCAGTATTAGACTAAGCTAGCTCTCGGGCGCCAGATCCAGCAGTATTAGACTAAGCTAGCTCTCAGGCGCCAGATCCAGCAGAATTAGACTGAGCTAGCTCTCAGGCGCCAGATCCAGCAGTATTAGACCGAGCAAACTCTCGGGTGCCAGATCCAGCAGTATTAGACTGAGCAAACTCTCGGGTGCCAGATCCAGCAGTATTCAGCTAGCTCTTGAGCACTAGATTCAGCAGAGCAAGCAAGCTCTCGGGCGCCAGTTCTAGTAGTATTAGACTGAGTGAGCTCTTGGATGCCAGATCCAGCAATATTAGACTGAGCGAGCTCTCGGATGCCAGATCCAGCAATATTAGAGCGAGAGAGCTCTCGGATGCCAGATCCAGCAGTATTAGACCGAACGAGCTCTCGGGCACCAGATCCAGCAGTATTAGACCGAGCGAGCTCTCGGGCGCCAGATCCAGCAGTATTAGATCGAGCGAGCTCTCGGGCGCCAGACCGAGCGAGATCTTAGGCGCCAGATTCAGCAGTATTAGGCTAGCTCGAGCACTAGATTCAGCAGAGTGAGCAAGCTCTCG